CTCGAACTCCCCTTCGGCGTCTCCTACATCGCCAACAGCACCGACGAGACAGTCCCGCCCCCGAACGACGGCGAGCCCGTAGCCGTCCTCCACCTAAGCAAAGAATCCAACGTCTCCGTAGCCTGGTCCTGGGGTCCATACGACTTCCAAACCGAAGCCGCAGCCGAGAACCTCCTCATCGACAGCTTATCCAAGGTTAACAAGGACCCGCGCAATGCCACGGAGCCATCGCAGCCCTTCTGCAAAGACGACGTCAAGGCCTTCAAGAAGTGGGACTACTTCCCGCATTTCGAAGGCGATGCGCTTTCCAACGGCGCGTATGCTAAGCTTAACAAGCTGCAGGGCCAGAAGAAGACGTACTATGCGAGTGGACTCAGCGGCATGGAGATTGTCGAGTGGGCTATTCGCGGTGGACGTGACGTTGTCGACACGTACTTCTAAGCGCTGTTACGAATTTCCTTGATTGCTCGATTACGACATTGTTGCACGGTATTCGGATGAAATGCCGTGTTAAACTGGACCCCCCACCGTTTGCGACATCTGCGCGTATATACCTGGAGGATACTTGTTTGTTCGTTTTTTTGTTTATCGTTTATTGTTTCCTGCTGTTCGGACAATGATATCACGGCTGGATTTCTGTTGTTTCTGCGCGCTTTAGATGATGATACCTACACGCCTTCGATGAGCGTCATGATCAGTTGTTCCTGGAGGGTTCTGCAATATGAGTGCGGATGGGAGGGACTTTACGATTATGACCCGCATATGCCCCTACTCATGGGGTTCTTTAATGGTAATTACGAGTTTCATTCTGGTTTAAAAAGAGATGGAGATGGGAATTTCTACATTTGGTAGGATTAGATATGTAGATATGTAGATCTTTGAGCTGGAACTAAAATGTATCTCTCACCACAATCTTGGCTCCCTACTTTCTCTTACCTTACTCCAAGACTCCCCGGGTCCTGTATAGTACAGCTGCACATCAAGAACAAAAAGATAAATAGCTGGACTCGCGACGATTCGAACGTCGATCTCCCACTCCACCCTGAGCCTCTTATTGGATCCGGTAGTGGCCTGATCTAATAAGAGGCTCCATACCAGAGGCATGGGGCTACTTAAAGCCTCTTCGACGTGAAACGTATGGTGTAGGCGCTCTACCGTTGAGCTACGTGTCCTTGGGTGGTGATTGTTGGAGGTTTGACGATCCAAATGATACATGTAGTAGTGTATAGAGCAATGACTTTAGCAAATAGCCTTCCTCTCACTTGAAAACATATCGCAGGAGTCTATACCTAAAAAGAAACTACACTCTTCGTCCTATGGCTATGCAAAAAGAGAACCTAGCATAAACAGACAAAAGCCATGCAAAAAGAGAGACTACATAGTCTACAGCCACGCAAAAAGAAAAAGATGCTATCTTAGACATGGTGTGAGTCGAACACACAATCTCTTACAGTCTCAATCCGACAGGTCCCTCCGTGTATCAGAGCCCTCGTTTGCATGCAACGAGGTCGACCCAGGTTGCTCAAAGACTCGATAGCCCAGATCACACCCGTCAGAGTGACTAAGATGCAAGTGCCTTACCATTAGGCCACACGTCTTGAGTGACTTTGCTTTGATGGAGTAAAGGCGGATTTGGATGGTACAGATAGAAGGAGCGAGGGACTAAGTGACTGGGTAAGAGCAAGGACTGGTGGTAAGTGAGGAACCGGAGAAAGATTGAACGTTGGATTGTAGAAGCTCGTTTGAAGATCAAGGCAAAGAGAAGTCCTGACTTACGTGTCAGTCAAGGCCCTGCCAGTGTGCGGTACATCTTGGTCCTGTCTGTAGTACCAGGTCTGATGCAACCAGTACGACTGGCATTACTATCAATTCCGGTATACGCGGAGATCTCGCAGATTACACATGTTTCAAGATTCGAGAATCCCGTCACCACCATCGAACAAGAACGGAACTTCCGGCCGCTCCATCTGTTACTGCTATAGAACCATACGTTGAGACCGAGATGTGTGTAGCAGCCTCCAACACCATCACATACCAAGTGTAGTGCTTGAGAAGCCGCCACAACGGATATCACTCCTGAACCCTCGTGTACTCTCAACCCATCGTTCTATTTTCGTAACAAGCTGACGTAGATTCCGTCAGTGCCAACTGTGGGTCAGTGTAGGGAAACGGCGTGGGTCTAGGTTCAGCCCAACACGAGGAAGACGCGTGTTGCTTACAAGCCTCCCCCTCCTCACGGACGTGCTCGAACGTTATATAACTAGACCGTTTCACCTTGAACGTCTCTTCATCGTCAGGCTTCGACTTCAGGCATACTTATCACAGGGTCTTCCATCTCTCTGCGTCGACTGATTAAATATTAAGCTACTACGGATTACTATCTACCCAACATCCATCATCCATCCGGCCACATCCACGTCCTTGAATCCACCAAACCAGCGTAAACAACTACAATAATCCCAGCCGGAGAAGCCACCGCATAAAGATGCATCAATCCACCCTGCCATTCCTCCCCTCCCCTCGCCAAGCACAAAAAAGTCAAAAAGGTATATTGCGAATCATTTTCCCCAAGAAGGATAAGAGCATCGCGTCGTAAAGAAACGTTAGAGTGAAGAAAGGAGCAACCAGCCGCTACCCATGCTCAGCGGTCCAGTGCTACGAAGGTAACAGTAGCAAAGTTGGTAGATACACCAAGGTATGTCTACAAAGCGAGCATAGCAAGCATGACCGCAGCACCGAGACCGGCGCCGACAGACATCTTGGAAGCTGCACCTTCGAAAGGAGGGGATTCTGGAGAGGGCGAGGCACTGCCGCTGGGGCTGGGGAGCAGTGAGACGGTGACGCTGCCGGTGGCGCTCATGGTGGGCATGGCCATGGTGCTGTTGCTTCCAGTGGGGTAAGGAGTAACCATGGCGGAGCTGGATGTCTCAACAACACTGCTGCTCTTCGCGACGTACGCGCTCGACGAAGATGATGGGGTAGGTGTAGGAGTAGGTGTCGGTGTGACCATGGCCGGGTAGATCTCGGGCAGCAGGCTCTGGACGTCGGTGGGGAGTGCTTGGTACCAAGCTGGCGTGTTGCCAGCAGCGAGCGAGGAAGCCATCTCAGCGGCGAACGCAGACGACGAGGCGATCGCGTAGGCGACTTGGTCGGAAGGGATCGCCTGCGCGAGTTCCATGAGGACGGACGACTGGACTTCGGGCCTACGTCACCAGCATGTTAGCATGGATCTACATTGTAGTCATGATGATTATCGCGGGTAGTCGCGTCGCGTTTGCGGGTGAGGCAGCAACCGCAGATTGGAAAGATGTGGAGAACAGGGTAAACTTACGCAACACCCTGAGCGGTCACGCCCATAGCAAGCGCACCCAACGCCAGCGTGATAGTGTTGTACTTCATCTTGATAGTCTTGTCTCGTGTTGAATGATCGTAATTACAGCGAGTGTGTTTAGGGCTTCGTATGACGTGTTGGACAGCAACGGACCGACAGACGTTGAGTTTAATAAGAGAGTGTGGAGAAAGTCTGCTTGATGATTACGACGCGTTGAACAGACAGTCTGACTGACAGTGAAAAACTGCAGGGAGCGAGCAAAAAACAGTGTAATGAGCGTAAAGGTTTGCGGTAACAAAGTGAGAGCGAGAGATGAGCAAAGGGAGGATCCCCGGCTGTATTTGAAACTATGGGCACAGGGCTCACGCGCTCCCTTCACGATAGGTTTGCTGCTCGCCTGCCTGTGTGTTATTCCCCTTGGGGGGACGGGGGCCAGTGGGAAAAGCGGCTAACGGATGGGGAAAAAATAAGATTACTACACCAATCTTGTGACGGGGCCTGAGGCGGGCGACCGCAAAATGGTAATTGGAATGGGGATATTGGCAGCGCAAGCGAAAGTGATTCGCTGATCGCGGTAACTCCTTTATGCTGTGCTGTTTCTGTTTGGTTGGGGGCCCTCCAGTTTTCTTGCGACGTTTGACAGTTGATTCTTTTTTGCTTTTGCGCGCACCCGTTTGTTCGCCCGCTGGATGTCCGCAACAACTCCAAACACGACGGGATCGTGATCACGCGATAGAGTCGCCGGCGTGCGATGGCGGTTGGCGGCGCTCAGGGCAAGGTGTCTCATCTCCTTGAAGCGCGGAGAAGCTTGTGGGCAGGCCAATCAGAAGCGGCAACGACGTCGTTAGTGGCAGGGTCAAATTTCCACTTTTTAAGCATGGCAGGGGTTCGCGCTGCCGTCTCCAGGGCAGCCCACATGGCCTCAATTCGTGTGCTGCAGGGACGCATGAGGTGCATATCGTGTTCTTCGCAGCCTCGTTTTGTCGCGTGCGAAGCTGGTACTGTGTCATGAGAGCGCTCATGGCATGCAGCGCTGCAGTACTCTTTCAGGTACGGCGTGTATAGGACATCGCCGTTTCCATAGTTCGTCGCGATATGCCAAGGGAGGATTGCCAAACTGAAAACTGACAAGCGACACTGCACATCGCAATTAGTCGCCGGCAATTCGGCACTACTGCCCAGATAGCAGAACACCAAGCGCCGTTTTCCCATCTGCCGTCAAGACATCGTGAACTTGGCCATCATGGTTGATCTGCATAACACATTTCGTTTATAACGGAACACATGTTCTTTTGGTCATTCCACCGTCGAATAACGGCTGGCGGTTATTTTCCCAGGTGCTCGTCCACGGCGCAGGCCTTATTCTGGACGCGGTCGACGAGAACCGTTGGTAGTCAGGGTCAAAGATAAAGCGCGGGTCTCGCTATCTCGCCCTATTACGTTACGTACTATCGTTTCAACCACAACGCGATTCACGAACAACATCTGCAACGATAGTACGTTTCTCGCAAATGCTGATGCATTATGATAGCGGACACAGCTACACCTCAAGAGCTTGGGCGAAGATAATCGAGATCTACGGCACTCATCTACCGACAGAACATTTTAGATGAGGCTGGAACGACGCACATAGCTTCGCAATATCACCGAAGCGCCAATCCGTCTTTCTTCAATCCTCCATCTCCCTGGCGCGTGATACTCCAGCGACGGCAGTATGATTCTGGCCACCGACGGGCTGACCGCATTCCGGACAGCGCGCTTGCTGCATGGGCATACCGCATTCTCCAATGGCGAACTGCACTGTGTTAGATTATGATATTTCAGATCGGAGAGGAGGCACTTACTGGATGGCCGTTCACACACTTGTACCAATGCCCAGAGTGAGTCGCGATACCGCCACGTCCACTAACCATGGCCTTCTTGATAGATTCCAGTTCTTCCTTGGACACTGCCTCGTAGAACTCCTTGCTGAGCATCTTCGATGCAGCGACGACAGCTTGTCGCAAGTTATCCCGTCCACTGAAGGAACTCTCACAAAGCGTGTCCGCCTTTGCCAACAGGTCCTTGGCGGTGTTGCGGTAATTCATGGCCCTTGCGCGATCGTTGTTCTTATCAGACTGAGCACTACCAAAGAACTGGGCGATTCGAGCGTAGTGCAGTGTAGCCTCAACCGCAAGTTTAGGCAGACTCTCACGTATGCAGTCATCAATGAGCCTCTTCGTGTCTTTGAGGAACCGATCCGTCTTGGCAACGGGTGAACCACTGGGAAACTTGAGGGGCAAGGTACTCTGGAAATGCTTCTGATCCACAGTACGCATGATCTCGAAGTTCTCCTCTAACACTAAGCAGCGTACCTTGATTTCGAGGAGGCGGCCGCCGAGGGTGATGCGTTGATCGCGATCGCGTTTGGCAGACTTTTCGGACGAGTCGATTGTCAACCTTGCGAGCTCAACATCCAGTGGTTCACTTCGCGCCATACTATGCACGGTCGCCTGGTGCAGCTTGTATGTCGGTTGGTGTCGGGTATCCATCCTAAGCTGAAACGCCTTGACTGCGTTTAGGAGCTGAATAGTATCCCTTGCGCGATTGTTAATCTCGTCGTTGATGGACTGCATGGTGAACTCGTGAGCTTCCTGACCGCGGAGCTGGACTGGCTTATCGGGAACAACCGACATGCGCGACTTTTCGAGGTCCTTCCTGACTTCTATGAGCTGGCCTTCCAGTTGCTGCAAGTCTTGTTGACCGTTGACGATGAAGCGCTTGGACATCTCATCGATGACAGCTCGGTTGATGAGCCGGTTGTAGCGCTGGGTAACATACTGCTTGACAGGCTCTCGACATTTGGGGCATTGTGGAATCGATGCAGACAGCTCGGCGTCCTCAATCAGTCCGGTAAAGGCGCCCGTCTTCGTATCGACGCTATACACGTCTTTGAGGCCGACGACTCCGTCCAGAGTTTCGGTGGTGAAGAAGTGACCGCAACCGAGAACGACTATGGGCGATTGATCCAGGTCGATTTTAGCATAACGAGACCCCATGATCAAGTCTGGCTCTTCCTCCGGCTTCATGCCACACTCTTGACAATACTCGACCGGGCATACTTCCCCACAAATGCTCGGACACTGATGACCGCACGGGAGAAGCTTGGTGCATCGCTCGTCGCATGGTAAGCGGCTACACGGGGCCGAGCAAGGCATTTTGCAATCGCCTTGATGCTCGCAGGACCATGCACAAGGCTCAACGCACGGAGCACAGGGCTCGTGGCACCTCTGTGGACACTTGGTATGTTTGCAACGTACCTGAATGAGATTAGAGAAGTGTCACAAAATTGATAGGTATCACTTACTTCGCAAGGCGCTTGACAAAGACCGCAATCCGTACCATCGTGACATCGGCGATTACAGTCGTGATTGCAAGTCCCATGCTTTCTACCACAGGTCTTCCTGCAAGTAGCGTGCTTCACCACCGGCTGATCGTACATATCCTTGGTATTGCACTGAGCGCAGGTTCCGGGGCATGGATGACCACACGATAGAGGTGTGTTGCACAGTGTAGGGCACTTGAAGTCTTTCTTGGAGACATCTACCGAGCACTTCAAGACTACATCGTGTTCGCAGCCAGGTACACGCTTCGAGATCTTGACGTCGCAGGGTATGCTGGTAGGATTCTGGGTGAGATGACAGGCGACGCCGTGCTTGACATGACCACATGGAAGCTGTACGTGGTCCATCAATATCATACACTTCCCACAAGGCTCTCCACATGTAGCCTTCTGGCATGCATGGTCGCAGGGCTGATGCCGGCGCTGACACGGCTGCTCGCAAAGGAAAACCTCATGCATGGCTTCCGAGTGACATCGGGCCCCACATTGATGGCCGCAGTCGAGACGGTCGGCGCATGCTTCCCTACAACCACCTTCAGGGCTCAACTTGTGAAAGTCGTCAGGCTGCTGTACTTGGGCGTCGGTATCAGGGTGTCGAGGGCAACGCAAAGCCAGAGCTTTCCCAACTGATTCGGTCGCACGTAGCATCCCGATGACTTTCTGCCACATGTCGACGCTAGAGTAGGTATCTGCATTACCTATGAGGTACATGCCATGTTGAGCGCGACTCAGCAAAACGTTGATACGGTTTGTCGTTTTGAGAAAGCCGACGTTCTGTCTATCGTTGCTTCGCACAAGAGACACAATGATGATCTTCGCCTCTTCTCCTTGGAAATTATCGACCGTCGCAACCCTCAATAGTTCCGACAATTGTTTCTTCTCCAGCGGCTTGCCCTGGTAACTCTCGTGAGCGGGTACTGCGGTCTTTGCTGTATCGTTGTCTTCTACAGCGAAACCGTCCCTCTCAAGCGCTTCTCGATCTCGATCACTGAGGCAGATCTCAAAATCGCTGCTCATCGCGGCGCGGAGTTTCTGAAGCTGGCCAGTGTATGGGGTTAAGACTGCGATGTCATCGGGCTTGTACACACCCTGCCGAACGATATGCCGGACCATGGCATGCACCATCTTGACTTCCCACAAGTTGGACTTGGACTTCGTATCATGTGTATCTGCACCCTTCTCGTTTTCGAAGTTGGTGTGGTCGAGCCAGAAGACATTGCGGCGCATACCAACAACATCCGGCAGCTCGATGGTAGACGGATGGTCCTTGAGCTTATCGTAGATGGTTTCGCGAATCAGCGAAGAGATTTGCGGGCGCATTCGACGCTGTACATTCAGTTGAGCAACAGGCATCAGAGGCCGCCCGGGCTCACCGATCGAGAGTCGCTCGAACTGACTCCTATCGAGCGCGTGAAGCTTTCCTCGCTCGCTCTCGAGCGATAAGTCGCGGAAGTTGCTGACAGAGGGCCGAAGCTGCTCGTGATCACCAATCTGGATGAGATGCTCAACATCGGGAAGCATCGCCGAGATCATGTGACTCTCCATGACCTCACCGGCTTCCTCGCAGATGATCACCTTACACTTCACCTGCTGGAGAACCGAGATACGTTTCGCCAAGCCGGACGTGGTAACCCCAATGACTTCAGCCTCTTCTAGCAGTCGTCGGTTCAACTCCTCATGGATATTGCTCAATTGTCGTTGAGTCTTGGCTGCACTATTGACGATTTCGAAGAGCTCGCTGACCTTGTTTCCTTGAGCTTGCGATACCCAGGAGGCGACAAGTGCGCTTCTCTCAAGCATTGACAAAGAGAACACGCTTGCAGTCGCCCGCTGGATTATCTGCTGTAACTCGCTTTGAGTTAATGAGGTTTGGCCATATGCCTCAGTACCGGCGATCCATACATCGAATGGGTGGCGGCCGGCTGTCTTGAAGCCTTCGTCATCGACAGAACGGAACTGATTGTAGATCTTCGGATATTCTTCGTGGATATGGTCTTTGAGCTTATGCCAGTCCGGACGCTTCGACAAGCCATGAAGACCACCAAAGAGCATCTTGGCCTCCTTCTCATTCTGATCTAGATCCTGATAGTTCATCGCCGCCATATACTTTTCTGACTTGGTCTTCGTCTCCAATTCGCCGACGGTGCGCAGGCTGTGGTTGAGAAGCTTCTTGGACTTGCTCATGCCGCCAACCCGGATGAGCTTGTGGACGCCGATATCGATTAGGTGTTCGAGGAACTGATCCAAGGCGTGGTTAGTGTAACATACGATGAGTATAGGACCGAGATCGCTGTTCTCCTTGATCCCCAGCAGTATCCGCATGATCTGTAGGCCCAAAAAGCTTTTTCCCGTTCCTGGAGGTCCTTGGATGAAGGCGAACTCTCGGGTTAGCGCAGCAATGAGCGCGCGACACTGTCCACAGTCAAGTTGCGTTTTGGCCTCCAGCTTATCGAGTAACGCCTGGTCGTCACATGATGATGTTGGTTCGATAGAAAAAGAGTCTTCTTTGTTGCCATCTTTCAGGAGAGCAGTCACGGGGAACTTGAAGCCAGGCGCGCGCGCGTATAGAGGTGGAGGAATTTCGTGAGTCTTAGGCGTCGAAGGACGGTCATTGTGTTTGTCCGGGACAACCCACTGCTGAAACGGTAGACGATTCAGTCGCTGCATCGCCTGTAGGCTTTCCAAAGTGGGTGAAAAGGTCGCCGGCATGACCTTCGGGAACTCTAGCAGAACACCCCGGGCTGCTCCGATGTTGGCTTGCATGAGCATCTTGACCGTTGCTCGATCTTGAGTTACCAGGCTAGCCGTCATGTAGGCCATTTGATTGTGGTGTGTCAAGCTGTACTCCTTTGTCGGATCAGTGTCCTTGTTTGAGACAGTAAGGAAGATGTGTTGAACGACATTGTCCTGGATCCATATGAAGGACAAAAGCGACCCTTCGTCGAATCGCCTTGATTCCTCCCACCAATTCACCTTTTGGCTAACACTTTTCTTGCGGACTATCGCAGGCTGCAAAAATTCCATCTGAGCTTGCAACCCCATTCGCTTGTCGAGTGTGACATAGCTGACGCGAGCGCTGGTGTACTGATTGGCGCGTATATCTCCTAGGCTGATATTGGGGTGAAGCAACGTGTTGGCGTCTTGCGATACAGCATGCATGATTCCAGCCAATGACCCCTTCAGCTCACCGAAGATATCGTGGCGCAACAGGCGGAAGTAAGTATCTATGTGGCGTTGCACGCGATCCTCAAGGAAGTGTGGCTGGTCGGGATCGGTATAGGGCAGATATTCCTTCGCATCGCTTATGATCTCATCCCGGGTCGGGAAGATTACCATGTCGCCAATGTCCTTCTTGTCGTTGTCAAAGCGGTCCGAGGGGACTACGATGTCTCTTGGGTAGAATGATACAGGGCCGCCAGCATAGTTGTCGTCTTCAACCCCATTGTCACCGGTGGTTTCGGCGAGGAGTCCGTGAGCTCTAGCTACCAGGGCTCGAATATCATGGAGGCGATTGCTTATTCGTGTTGAGGTATCTGGCGATACCAAGTCTTTGTAGAGGTCGCTTACAGCCTGGATGGAGTCCACCAGCGGGATGATCTCATCGTTGAACCGGGCTCTACGCTCACGTCTCAACAGCTCGAAGAGAGCCGTCGCCATGGCGAGAAGGGTCGTCTCGTGGTCCTTGGTAGATGCCGAAGAAGATGTCCGAGCTGCCACCAGAGCCTTGCAAACCCGCTGGAGATATGAGACTGCAGTCCGCCCACCGACACCACCGAAGAGGTTGTAGATGGAACCGACGTGTGTATCGATCGCAAGACATCGAAGGAGTGAGGAATGCGTAAGCGTAAGTAGGAAATGGCGGGCGTTGCTGAGGAAGGTGTCGTAGTCCGAGCCGACAACCTTTGAGTTCAGAATGGCGAGGATATGACGATGACCACTTTCATCATCCGAATCATCGTTGAGGTCTTGCGGGAGCTGCTGTCGCCAGTCTCGGTCTCCAGCTTCGAGTATGCCAAAAGCACCCTCCCAGAGGCGTCGCATGGTCGTTGGATCAGTTTCCGACTCACCAAGGCGGCGCTTCCATGAGCTATAGGACTTTCGTGCGGCTCTCTGCTCATCCGTCTCTTTGGCCCTCGCGGGCTTGGAATCCTTTGTGTTGCGATCGTGCCTGCCTTGGGTAGAACCACCACGTCCACGACCGCGATCTCCGCCTCTGCCACCTCTTCCACCACGGCCGCCTCGTGGATTGCGTCCGTCGCCGCGCCCGTACATCGTGAGCTGGTTCGGGCGTAGGTTTCAGCAAGATCTGTGAGAAGATGCGTCGCTGTAGGGATGGTGTTGGTGATAGTCTCCGTTGGGAAGGAGCGACTGTATGTTTTGTGCGGACGCTAGCCGCCGGAAAAACCCTGCACGGTGTGGTGAGAGGTGAGAGTGAGACGTGAAGCGGTGGGGGGGCGGACGTAGACAGCAGTGCCGCGAGTGCTGTATCCAGCGCAAACATTCTTGCATGAGCATACGGGCGCCTGTATCAGTCAGTCTCGACGGTGCAGCAAGTCTTAAATATATCACCTGCCCTTTATCGTGACTTCGGAAAACTGATGTTGAACGCATCATGCCACCCTTCCACTGTGAACCTGTTGTGATGACGTAATGCGAGTAAGAAGAGGAAAGAGCGAGGTGGTCACCCATCAATCATAGACGGAACGAACAGGAAACACAAGAATGTCAATAAGAAGAACATAGACAATATGGCATTGAAGAAAATCCAATACTCCACCTTGATGAGTCCCGAACGCCAGTTATGCTCTTCTCATGCCCACATCACTTCGTCCCAACATCCGGAAACAGAACCTGCACCATCTCGTCGAGAAGCGTGAAAGCGATATGTGTACTGCATCCTCATTAGCATCATCCACCCAAGAACCATTCCGTAAACTTACTTCAACCGGGTATTATTGATAGTCCCCTCAATCTTCTTCGCCGCCAACTGCGCATTCTGCCTCCCCACAACACTACTCGCCAACTCCGGGACGAGAGTGCTCAGAACCTCGCTCGCCGCCTTCCTACTGTTCTCTTTATCTTTGCTGGTTCGTTCAACACCGACTTTCATCCTGCCGTTAGGCCACATACTGTCCTTCAGCGTGTCGATGTACTTGACGATGTTGTTTTCAGACAGTAGGTTATCGAAAGATTCGCGGACTTTGCGTTCAATGGTGCCGCCAAGAAGTTGGTGCAAGACTACGACGACAGCGCGGCCTCGGAGCCAGTTGTTCTCGCGGTTTAGTTCGAACGTTTCGAGGAAGATGTCGCAGATTGGTTTGACGAAGGGCTCGAGCTCTTTGTTTTCGAAGGCGAGGAGTTCGGCTTCTGCTTCTGCGTCGTTGTTGGGTTCGCCCGCGACCAGAACGCCGGAGGAAGACAGGTTGCCCGGTTGGGCGGTCGCGCCGTTTGTGTTGGCAAGCTGGGTGGTTGCGGCTGATATGAGGTTTTGGCCTGCGACGGATAGCTGATCGAGGACGGGTATGTTGCCTAGAAACTCTTCCATACCATCTGCGACTGAGTTGTAGATGCGAGTTACGAAGTCGTTGGAGTTTGGGTCCTGGTTTCGCAGGGCATCGGCGGGGCTGATCGCAGCTTGTGAGAGGAAGGCGCGTAGTTCGCGGCTGCGGCATACAGCTGGAATGAGTAGAAGCTCCCTTAAATATTTCTCAAGTCCAAGCCTTCTCTTGTGCAGGAAGTCTTTCTGGAGCTTCAGCATCATCTGCCGGCGTGGGAACTCCAGATTTCGGACTTGGGGAAATTTGGCGCGGAGCCTTTTGTTCAGTTCGTGGAACTCGCTGTATCGTCGTGAGACGACCCAAGTAGCGGCAGGCATCTGGTCGCCAGCACGTCGTCGTACTTCGATGACGTACATAGCATACTCCTTGCCGTCTTCCTCTGTGCCGACCATGATTGATTGAATGAACACAGTCGCGCGTCCGTACAAGCTGTTGTCGCTTTCTTGGACGATGTACTGCTGACGCTGTAGCTCTTTCCTCTGTATCTCACGCTGAAGGCTGGCTTTCGATTTTCGCAAGATCCTCAGTTCTGCAGCGTTGTTTGTCAACTCAGCTTTTGATGTAAGAGAGTCGACGATAGACTCTTGGGATACCAGGCGCTCAATATCAGCCGTTAGTGCATCGATAGCTTCGGCGAGACCCAGGTCTCCAGGCGCCGCCTCGTGAATCTCTTCCTCTTCTGCTTTGCTCCTCGGGACTGGGTCATCGATCTCGTCCTCCATGAACCTTTCTTCATCACCAAACAGGTCATCATCAAAGACACCGCGCGTTCTGGGCTCTCCAACCAAGCCAAGGGACGCTATGCTTGGCTTGAGACTGTCTTTGCTTTGCTGCAATTGTGCTTGCGGGGCTGGGGATGACGCTCGTGGTAGATCGACGGATCCTCGCATGGAAACACTGTCTAGTGGCGATTTCAGACCCGGCTCGTAGAATATCGAACCCTCAGGCTCGTCCATAATGTCGATGATGGCAGCCTGCATAGCATCGACGACCTGCGTATTGTTGCCATTGGAGCGGTCATGACCAAAGTCTGAGTTGAGGCTTGCGGTTGAGTGTGCGAGAGGGTCTGAGTCGTAGTCCTCGTCGAAGAGAGGTGCGCGTGCAGATGATGACCTATGTACATCCAAAGAACGGCGTGCAGGTGGCTCAGCGTTTTTGACGGCTCCTTGGCTCTTAAGATCTGATGACGATGCGACGGCTCGGCGCAAGTCTCCTTGTGGTATCTGCAATGCGCTCTTCTGCCTTGACTGGGTGCGAATCATAGCAGGGGCAGCCGCAGACGAATTGTCGAGTGTTTGCGCTACAGTCCTCGTATTCACACTGCTGTTCTGAGCGTTCGCCGCCTCGTCCATGGCCAGCCACTTGTAATACAAGTTGGACTTCTTGAACCTTCGGAAGTAGGGTTCCTGTAATTGTTCGTACGCCGCCGTCTGAGCTTGGAGCAAAGAACGTCGCGCATTATGATACTGCTGCGGAGTCGCCTTCCGCCCGGCTTTGAGAAACTCAGAGACCGCTTGTCGAGCTTCGGGAAGTATCTTCAACTCCGGGTTCGACAAATATCCGTCGTAGATCTGCGCCAGGTCTGCACGGTCAGACTCTGTCCATGCAGGAAGCGAGCCTATATAGTCTGGCGCTTCTTCAGTCTCTACTTCCAATGGATTGCGAAAGCCGTCCACCACGATCCAAAACTGCACCAGCCGCATCAAGTCCGCCTGATCCATGAACTCCATGAAGCAAGACAGTCCTGACGCATCGTACAGCACTTCGCGTAGAGACGCGTTCGCGAACTTGGACGAAGTACGCTTGTGCTTCGGCTTCTCCTGTGCGGCAACCTTTGCCCGAACCGAGCCACCAGCACTGAGGTTGTTGACTTTTGTATCCAGAATCTGTCGCGCTGTTTCTAGACGCCGCAGATAGACAGGGTCTTGATCTTCTACCGTGGAATCCTTCCGCAATTGACTTGACACTTCGCTGCGAAATCGTCTAGCATCTGCAAGAGTATTGGTCTGCCTAATGGCTCGTATGAAACGTTCGAATCGTCGCTCGTTATCGCCGGGCGCAAGCTTTGGAAACTGGACGTTCTTGGGGTTCTTCGGTGAGGGCGGAGCATGTTCATCGAGAGCAGCTCGAATCTTGCGGACAGTTTTCCTTTCCTGTATCAACGATCGTCCCTGAATAGATTAGCGACGGTTTACTATGAGCGGGGATTTTCTTACATATCCCTCCATAAGCTGGTTCCATGTATCTGGGTCAGCAAGCATCTGCATCACAGGAGAGAGGACTGCGCAGGCCACAAGCTCTTTGATCAGTACATTGACAGCGGGACTGGTTGACATGTTCGCAGGCATAATCTTTGGCAGTAGTCGCGTGACGATGCTTCGTAGATGTTGCTGCTGTATAGGCTTGGTATTCGAGTATGCCAACGACGCCGCCGGGTGCAACCGGCCCTCTTTGTATTTGGCTGCGATGGCCAGATCAAGCTCCTCAGAATCTGTGATGTTCCGCGACAGCTTGCGTCCGCGAACTATGCGCTCTGCCTCGTAGGACGCCCGCAAGTGATCGGTGATGAGAGGTATCATGCGCGACACGACTGTCTCGACCATATCTACTGCCAGTATGCGCTCCCGAACTTCGCCCATTGCAGCCCGTATCGCATTGTCCACCTCGTTGACGAATGTCGGGCTTTTGCTGATACTGCCGTACCAGCTCTTCACGAAGTCGCGCAGTATCAGCCCAATGAGCACGTCGATGCTGTCTGATATCATGAAGGACGCGGGGTATAGCGGCTCCATCATGTACATGTTCCTCATGTCCAAAGCCTCCCTCTCAGCCTTCCACCTGTCCGGCGCAACGAAGGCGACATGGCGCGGTCCATAGTCGACCTTTCCTCCGCTTCGTAGGTCTGTGTCCCAGGCGATCGTGAAGGTGAGCCATGCTAGCAGGGCAAGCGTCGCGAGTACTCCGGCGAAGAAGGCGTAGGGCAGGTAGTGCAGCTTCGGCTGCCAATGGGTCAGGTACCCCCAGGCGATGAAGACGGCGATAGCGGCGAAGACCAGATCTCTGCGCTTCACGGGGGCCATAATCGTGCGGGTGGCGCCCGTTTCTGCATCTTGAGCGGGATGGCTGAGGGTGCGGGAGGCTTGGTGTTCTTTGGACAACCCACTTTCGAGCTTAGACCACTGCTGACGTCGACCCGCGTATATCGTATTCAGCGAGTATACAAGCGTTAGTATCTTGATCTTGACAGCGAACTCAACAAGTGTAGAACATAGAGAGCACCTTATGAAGTTTCTGGATTGCGCTAGAGTTTTGAGCGCTATCAACCCCCGTGGAAAACTGCGCTCCTCGTATTTGGTATAACCTCCAATGCAGATAATGCCATGATCCCAATAGTTTACATTCATGACGCCGTTCCAACTCCGATACTATGCACAAGCTTTCTCGTCTGCCCCGACCATATCCATCTAGAATTTCCGTCGTCCAAGTGTCGGCTTCCAGTCGAGCGGGTGTGTCTCTTCCGTGGCGTTCTCGTCCTGCTTCCAAATCTTGATAGACTTGTCCGACTCTCCGGTGATGAGACGCAGGCCGGTCTTGTCGAATGTCGAGCACATAACACCTGCTTCGGCCTCAAGAGAACCCGGTTGTGCGATACTTTCGCCATGCTGGAACCGATGGCCTGTCTTCCAGTCGTAGAACGAGGCTTCGCCGTTGTCGCTACCGGCAAACATGATGTTGTCCTCGTTTACGGAGAGTGTGTTGATGATGCTGTTGACCGGCGAGAAGTTCTGCATGAAGTCGCCGTTCGGGCACAGCCATTGTTTCGCCGATTGCGCCGATCCAGATGCAAATGTGAATTCAGTAGGATGTGTAGCGAGAGAGCGAACCGACTTCTTGTGATGTGTGAGAACCGTTCGAGTCTTTCCAGCGACTAGGTCCCAGAGTCGTATTGTGCTATCCATGCTTCCAGACAAGACTTGGGGCTCGGCTTCTTGACATTGGATCGAGGAAATGGTTCCTTTGTGGCCTCCGAGAACATGGATGTTGCTGCGCGAGCGCATATCCCAAACGCGGACTACACCATCTCGTCCTCCGGTGCAGAGCACATCCACAGTCGGGTGAAGCGAAAGCGAGTAGACTCCGCTCAAGTGGCCGTGGTAATGTCGGATGACTTTGTTGGTCTCGAGATCCCAGCATTTGACCATTTTGTCTTCTCCGCAAGAGAAGAGATATGGATGCCTCGGGCTCACTGCAAGTCCTCTGACTGCAGAAATGTGTCCTGTCAAGGTAATCTTCAGTTGACCGCTGGCTAGATCCCAAAGCTTGATTGTCCTGTCCGCGGCACCGGTCGCGAACCATTGGTTTCCAGGCTCCATCGCCACCGATCGCACCTATACGTAGTCAGCCGCTGTCGCTCTCTTGTATAATACTATCGCATAACTTACCCATCCCATATGTCCGCTAATAACCGTCTTGACCTTCCACGGCGCATGCCAGTCGGGCTTCGCTTGGCGAACCACGTCCTTCCTGACCAACGCGCTGGACGTCTGGTCTCTGCTTGGCGTAGGTCCATGAGCGTTCGGTGCAGCGCCCTTGCCTCCTGCTCTCACTGCCAACTGCATCGACTGTGCATCACGCGCCTTGTCCGCCTTCTCTGAGACACCATCAATCATCTTCTGCATCTTAGGATCCGAGGCCTTCTCTTCAGCGTTCTGTGCCTTGATCTTCTTGCGTCGCTCGGCCGCTGTAGATGCTGCGCTGGCCATCTTCGCAGCTAGTGCGGGTGGTAGCTCGCGTACATGCTCATATTCGTTGCGAATGCGCGATGCGACGCTGGCCTGGTCTGCGGCGGCCGAGGGCGCTGGTGTGGTTGGGTGGATTGAGAAGCTGCCATTCGAAGCGTGATCTAGCGCCGCTGATGACGCGAAATCGGCGGCGAATATCTCGCGTGTCCGTTTCGACGAGGATCGAATAAGCTGTTCCGCCGTGCTGAGAGGTCGCGAAGCTGCGGTTTCGGCCATGTTGGCGACGTGATGTGGAGGGGAGGAGGATTACTGCATCAAGATTAGCTGTGGCTGTTCGCGACTGAAGCGACAGTGATAAGAGAGACTCACGTGTTGACTTATGGGGTGATGCTGAAGGCCAACTGCTGGTCGTCGACTCTCCATCGCGAAGTTTCACTAGCGCGCCTTGCGAGCTAAGCCGAGCTAAGGCCGAGCACTATCTTATCTAATCATCTCCGCCGCCCAAACACTCTCTCACCAGAGTGTCTACCCAGAACACATCTTGCTACCTTAAGTATCGCTTAGCTCGTCAAACCATCTGTCGCATTCTGCACGCAATTCTACAGCTTTCGAATCCCTATTGCGGAAATCGTCTGAATGGTTGCTGAATGGGTTGTTTATTGTGGTACAGCGGCCCCGTCTAGGACAAGACTTGGAGCTTGTGACTGCCGTCCTGGACGATTCTTGCCAAGACAGAGTATGTGGTTGTTGTACCTATCCCCAGGCTGAACATGGTCGTGGCCCTCAACTGCTTCTCGCCAACCATCAACGACGCTTGTCTGCAAGCAGCACTGTATCCCTTGATACCAAGCGCACACCGATGCAAGCATCATATTGTACTCATGGTTGACAGGTAACATGAATAAACTCATGAGTTCGGTCTCCCAACTACCCTGAAAAGGCATTCTAGGTTGTTGCATACAAACAGTCGTACGCCAACACAGAATTCTCAACCCACGCTACATACGAAAAGATTCATCGAGCTCGGGCGCGAAAGCCGAACGAAGTCGGCAAGACATGATACCACAGTGTTGCTTTCGACTACAGCATACTTCATCTTCGTGAGATCTGGATTGAGCATCTCGACAAGCCTGGGAAGCAAAGAATCCAGGCTTCGAGTAAATGACGGTGGTCTATGGCGGTTGGATGGAAGGTCCAATGCACACATCCCAAGCGGAGGAGCCGACTGGTCTTACTCCGCAGTAGGGAACCCAGGACGCAATGCTGGGTGCTCAATGGGGTTACATGACCGGTAATTTGTACGTAAGAGCCCTCATCTGGTTATTCACATGGGTGCCAACTTTGGATCGTCCAATACTCGTCGTGGCTAGACGATCCAATGCCCAACGCTCGCGTGCACACATCAGAATGTGCGGGACATGCAGGGGATACGAGTGAGCCTCTCCTTCGTACAGCATGGCACTGTAATATTGCGCCGCAAAGCTCACATGCCAGATGCTGTCAGCACCGCGCACATGTTTCCTGCATCGTGACCACGTTTATGACTGCGCAAAACTGTCGCGAACCTGTGGATACAGAAAACCCAGCTGTCACGGCGACGATGCTTGTTTCCCCAGATCTTCCGGGTTCTCCGCTTCATAGCTCCAGGATTGCGCAAAAGCAGCTGAACGGCGCGCGGTCAAGCACATGCTGCCGAGGAAGTTGAATGGAGAGCCAGACCGAGTCGTCAGATCCTTCCAGAGGAGGAAAGCCACCTCCGCACGAAATGACGCAGGAACGGTTAAACCCTTGCACTTCAGCAACAGGGTCGTATTGGCGGCACACCCACCACAAAGTAACTCAAAAGAAAGTGTCCTGTGCCTAGAAGTAGGTATTTCGTCTCTTGGGAATAGGAGTACACAAGCATATTTCTTACAGCTGCCTAGACACACGAATGCAGGTACAACAAGGCCGCCAGTCTTACGCCATGCCACCGTCTTTTTGCCGGGAATTTCGCAGACAGCGGTGGACGTTCGGATGGCGCATCCGTTCGGCGGGTTAGCCATGTTCCTGCGCGACCGAGCTTAGCCAAAGGGTGTAAGCATGGATTATCCCGGATGTTTGGCCGAGAATGGTCGAGATGTCGCGGGGTTTGTAACACTGGATCCTGCGCCATATATCGATTCCTGTGTCGCATTTGCGCTTGCCGCCGTCCAATGGCCACCCAGCCGGACTGGAGATGAGAACTTTGACGATTGAAAATCTGCGCAAAGCGACGATGCACATAGTGGTTGGTTTTGCCTCGTTGCGTGGCTTCACAGCCTCAGGGCTGCCCCGGATCTTCTCGCTTCACACTAGTCCCGGAAGCGATTAGGTGGGAACGGCCGCACCGTCACTGGCCTCATGAGACCCAATCAGCAAAAGCTTCTAGTCTCTGCGGCATGGTTCTTGGCGCCTTGATCAATTCGATCCCTGTTCTATGCTGGAGCTCGCCGTCGCCCAACACCAATGCTCACCAATGATGTCCAATCGACGATCGGATGGGTTCTTACTCGGTTCAATAGCACTACACGCTCCTCGCAATCTCTACATGACACTCAAGAAGTTGTAGAGAAAGTTACGCGGTACCATCTCCTTTCTTTCAATCTTCATGATTCACGACCATTCGCTGGCAAGGCGCGCCGCGCCTAGTTGTGTGGCAATAGACTCTGCCCTCACAAGTCCGGCCTCGACGAGCCGCAGCTAGCGATGCGTAGTCTGGGGTAGTGTCATCACGCGCTACCACATCGAGCAATACCTCCAGGGGCTGCTTGAAGATCTCGAACGGGGGCGAACAACACGCCCAGTGTGGAGCCACTTGGGTGCTAGCTTGTTTCTCACCTGGACACGGGTGGCCTACGGTTCCGCTTGATATAAAGAGCTTATGGGAGCCTCCTGTTCGAGTTCCTGCAAGCTTCAACTGTCGTTATACATACATCAAAGAACTTTTACTACACCGATCACCGTATCAACACCAAGACAACCGTCAATATGAAGACCTTCACCATCGCTGCCTTCGCCGCTCTGGCCTCCGTTGGAACTGCCCAGCTCAGCAACATCCCATCTTGCGCCGTATGTCATACCATGATAACCTTTGCACTCATCACAAACTAACACCTTCCAGCTTCAATGCTTCCTCGCTCCCCTCCAGAGCGACGGCTGCTCCTCCCTCACCGACTTCGAGTGCCACTGCAAGAAGGGTGCTGAGCTCCTCGGCAAGGTCCAGCCTTGCGTCCAGGGTGCCTGCGAGCAGGAGGACCAGGCCAAGGCCATCTCCGCCGTCCAGGACACCTGCAAGGCTGCCGGTGTTCCCATCAACATCCCCGGTGCCAGCGCTGCTCCCTCAATGGCCAGCTCTGCTGTCGCCAGCGCCACATCCGCTGCCGCCTCCATGGCATCTTCTGCCGCCGCCTCTGCCTCCTCCATGGCTTCCTCCGTCATGTCTGAGGCCTCCTCCGCTGTTGAGTCTGCTGCTTCCTCCATGGCCTCCGAGATGTCCTCCGCCATGATGACCGGTACCCCCACTGCCAGCGAGAGCATGATGAGCATGACCCCCTCTGCTTCTATGTCCGAGTTCACCGGTGCCGCTGCCCAGGCTACCCAGGCTGTCGGTATCCTCGGTGCCGCTGCCCTTGCCATGCTCGCTTTGTAGATACCCTCAAGCCCTTGGTGGCAAGCATGAACGGATTGACTGGTTAGTCATGGTCAGGATGTAATGGAATCACGTTGGGATGGATGGATCGAATCTTGTATTACCACCTAAAACCGATAATGCGATACCTAATATTTCGAACTTGATCCTTTTCTCTCGTATCATCATATTTTGTCACTCTCTAAACCTGATGCATTTCCCATCCCGCTACCTCGCTGCCATTTTGCAGTGTTTGTAACGCGTCAGAATCTCCCGGTGGCTGTTCGCATTCGGTCGTACCGAAGCTGAAAAGTTGCCCAGTGACGTCAGAGTAAGCACCATCGTGCCGCCGAAATGAGAACACAAGGGTTACCATGCCTTCGTTCGGTTTGAAGCTACCCGCACTTTTATCGTATACAGACGCCACAGCTGTGTAATGCGCTCTTTTTGTGCAAATTATCACGATGCCCTTTTACCGATTCACCGCAGTGGAAGCGACGGAGGCGCTCTCGTACTGCTATTCTTTTGCGTAATTACCGTAGACGGCCTTACTCTTAGCTCGGCTCTTATAGACGTTATTGTGTCGTCTGCCCAATTCAATTGAACACGCTTGGTACCTAGGTATTTGTTGATGAACAACACAATCGATCTCATATACGTCAAGAGAGCTTGGGGACTTGACGGACGCTGTGGAAATTCCAGTATCTGCCCAGTTGTTAGGAAACATAATTGTTGCTGGACAAGGTTTCTCTTGAGCTCTTTCCATTGCAACTCTGTGTCAGTTAGCTAGCCACTTACTTGTATCGTGCGAGGTATACTGCTGGAAGAGAACAAGCCCCTCAACATTTAAGCAACTGTTCGCGATACCCAGCTGCGTCATCTCACCGATGACCGAATACTCAGCTTGAGTGACAACGCCATCAGTTGCGCAAAGCAAGACCATAAAACTTTGGTCCCAGACCTGCGCTTACTCGATCGAAATATTCATGATCCTGAAAAAGGAAAACTACCCCAGCGGAAGTCTAGATCGCGTGCATGCTGCAGGCGCGACGTTAGTAAGCGTTGTAAAGGGTGACAACTCGCTGCAGCAGACAAGGCAACCACACACGATTAATTTGTGACGTCAATTCCTGCCTACCCAGATAGCTAAAAGGGCGCTGTCGTGCTTTGAGATGTAAAAGAGGGGTCATCGTAAACTAGAGAGCGGACGAGCGTAGTAGCAACATTGCCAACTTCAACATTAGCAACCCTTCCTAAACAATCATCATGGCCCCAGAACCCGACCCATACACGATATCAGTTCCCGACTCCGCAATCGAAAAGCTTAAACGCAAGCTCTCAGATGCCGACTTCCCTGATGAATTAGACACACCCGATCAATGGCCCTACGGCTCACCCCTCTCCGACATCAAGCGACTAGCAAAACACTGGGAAACGAATTACTCCTGGCGAGACGCCGAATCCAAAATGAACGAGCTACCCAACTACCGCAAAAAAGTCCAAGTCGACGGTTTCGGGCAGATCGACATCCACTTCGTCCACAAGAAAAGTTCCAACCCCAACGCCATACCCCTCCTCTTCAGCCACGGCTGGCCAGGCTCCTTCCTCGAAGTAACAAAACTGCTTCCGCTCCTTGAAGCTGGTGAGAAAGAAGGGAAACCCGCATTTCACGTCGTCGCGCCGTCTTTACCGAACTTTGGGTTTAGTCAGAGGATTAGCAAGCCTGGCTTTGCGTTGTCGCAATACGCGGAAACGTGCCATCGGTTGATGCAGGACCTTGGGTACGAGAAATACGTGACGCAGGGTGGCGATTGGGGGTTTTGGATTACGAGATCGATGGGTTTGCTGTATCCTGACTATGTCCTTGCTAGTCACATCAATATGGTGCGCGCGCAGGCACCGACGTTTACATCGCAGCCTGCACTTGCTCTGCAGCACGCCATTACTCCCTACACAGAAGCCGAGAGTAGAGGAATCGAGCGCTCGGAGTGGTTTCTCAACGAGGGCCAGGCGTATCGCCAGCTACAATCTACCAAGCCACAGACGCTGTCCTACGCATTCGCTGACAGCCCTGTGGCTCTACTGGCATGGATCTACGAGAAGCTGATCGACTGGACCGACGGCTATCCCTGGACCGATGACGAGGTGCTTACTTGGGTTAGTGTATACTGGTTCAGCACTGCAGGTCCCAATGCGCATGTCAGGATTTACTACGAAGCGCAACACAACCCTACAGATCTGATTCCGAATCGAGAGCGCACGACGACGTGGATTGATCGGGTGAAGTTGGGTGTTGCGCACTTTCCTAAGGAGATTACTGTTGTGCCGAGGGTATGGGCGAAGACTTTGGGTGAGTTATCCTCGTGACGATGAGGTTGTGGCCTATACTGACTGATCTGCCACTAGGTCCTCTCGTTCATGAGAGTGTTCACGATAAGGGCGGGCATTTCGCTGCGCATGAGAGACCAGATGTGATCGTTGCTGATCTACAGAAGATGTTTGGGAAGGACGGACCGTGTTACGGCATAGTTCCAGGAAAGTCAGGTTATTGATATGGGTTTGTACATGGAAACAATTTCGATGGAATGATATGATGAGCTATGTTATGTATCGTCATTGTTTGACAGGTGCCGGCTTTATCAGCTCAGCCGTCGAGTCTCGAGCGCCTTCACACGAGAAGTCAAACCCGGCCATGTGTGCGTCTGTTGGTTTTTCGGTCGTGCATTGCGTGATATTTTTGGCTTCGTCGCGACTTCTCAATGGGGAGAGGACTCGTCCCTGTATCGGATCGATCTCATCTTCAGACACCAATGTCGATCGCGACAAGTCCTTCTCTGCCGCCGACGCCGAAGAATTGAATGTAAGCCAGTGGATTATAAGAGCGTCCCAGCAAACGTCCACCAAGCAGATCGCAAGGCATATCATGCCCAGCTCTTCGCCCCTGGTCAGGAAGAATTGTACCATGTTCGCCGCCGTTGGTATCTCTATCAAGAGCGACCCAATGATACTCTTCCACAGCAGTGTCTTGATATTCTTTCTAGCTGGCGTATCCTGTCCTCCATGCACTGTAGCCTCATTTTGACTCGACTTCCTCTTGAAGATCCTGGAAAGAGTAGATGCACCAGGCAACCCTACGACCGGATAGAGTAGGTAAAAGAAGACCACAGTCAGAATGATATTCGTGAAGAAGTTGACCACGGTGAATGGTATCGATGCGATGCCGCGAATGCCAAAGTGGCAGCGTCCGTCCGATTCGTGCAACTCGGTGACATGGTTGAGATAGGAGTTGATGGCGACAGTACCGTACAATACGACGATCATGGCCATGCAACATAGGTATATCTTGTCTTTTCGCCTATTGACGAAAGGCGCGCGGACGACATGGATGCGTTCGACCAAGAAGATATAGCTGCCATGTGTTAGTAAATGACCGGGTTTCGTCGATACACACTTACATGATAGCTTTGATGAGCGTGTAGAAGATCAAGCAGACCCATGTGCCCGCAACGCAGAGCTCGTAGGTATAGAGCCCCTGGCCTGCCACAAGAACGGCTGAGCAGATGATGAACATCAAGACCAGTACGTATAGCATGAAGACAAGCGCAGACATGAGGCGATGCTTTCTCAAAATGCGGCGTTTGAGTTTCTCGAACCGCGAACCTATGGTCTGTGTCAGAAAGTGAACGCATGCCTGGTCCAAACTTGATGGCGTGATGCATGTTGCAGAGGCCATCGTCTAGCCTCGAGATCGGTTGGGTACGGAAGGAGAACTTACCCAGTAATAGCGAGCACACCATCATGCACAACAGCGATATGATCGTGAAGATCGACCTATCCCGTGGGAGTTCGCCATTGTCGATGAAAACGTTCGAGTTCCGAAAATCCTCTTGCCGCACCTGTAGGGGGAGGGCTTGAGCAGCGAACGTCTGCATCAAGAAAAGACAGGCGAACAGCCTCATTCTTGACAGAAATTCGGAACCGATATCGAAACGAGTCGTACGCGTTCGCAGAAAGAAAGACGTGATCAATAATCATTCGATTGGGGATCCTTGAGTCCTTAACTGGACCCTTTTCGCAACCTGACATCTGTCTTGGTCCCACAAAATGACGGTCCATTATTTTCTTCTTGCGTAAATCATATGGTCAAGCCTATGATCGACCGGGAGTTGCTAGGGACTGTGGCGCTGAGGGCGATCGTTTTGCTTGACTTCCAATGTTGCGTGAGGCTGATTGGGTTTACGCTAGTGATGCGGAGATGGGGCCGGCTGGCCGATGCGGCCTCGAACGCGAGATTCCCGGTGAGAAATCCACGTGCGTGCCGCTGCTCCCGTTCCTAGTAGCTGTTGGATGCGGTTTTTCTCAAATATCTCCGTCAGGGACAGGGTCGGTATTTGAGGCCGGTGTGCATTTTGCTTTTTCTACCTGACAGGTGTCATGGCTCGCTGATTCTTACCAGATGTCGCGATGTCTCAACCATGCATACTTCACCCATTCATACCCCACGTTGTCGAGCGGAAAATCCTGTTGGCTTCCCCTGGCGAGGATCCTAGTCCAATGTGTAACTGGATCTCGTCCCTTTGGAGCCAATATTGCCGTATCGGGATTGCGACAATCCGCCGAACGCCATTGCGCCATTCTCTTGCTCTGCTGAAAGATCCTGATCTTGATCTCCGAGGGTGAGTTTTGCCGACGTTGCAACGGCCTGTTCTTCGCTCACGGGCAACATCTCGTTCCATTCCAAGAACAACCATAGCCAGGATGGAGCACATTCGATGTTCCCTGAGGCAGGTGAAGATGTGCTCAGCAGGACCTTGCACGTCTCCTGTCTTCTCCAAAGAGACAGCTGGTGAAGCTGAATAGTACACAGCCCTCAGATCTGGCAGGGGTCGCAGGGATGCTGAATCATAGTAGTCTGAACGAGTGGCTCCGAGGAACGAGCTGAGCAGATTGACTTCGGAAAGTCACGAACAACTGTGGGGACTCTCGTAAACTTTGCGTACACTCTTCGCACGTTCGTACCCCACGCCGTGGGGTGCAAGGAGCATTGCGAATACTCGGCCAGAGGTGGCTATACGAGCATGTGATTGATACAAGGTCGTTTCGGCTGATGATCGCTGGTATAGGCGCGCTGCGAGAGCATCCTGAAACACCTGCTGGTATCCACGGGGAATTTCTCGTCACAGCCCATGTTGCTGATCACACGTCTATCCAGATGTAGAAGTTGGTCCCCTAACGGCCAGAGGATGTTGAAAAGATGCGCGCAGTCTTCTGATTCGGCTTGGAGAAGACGCTGCGGCAGGTTAGTAAGCCCTTGGAAGTGGCGTGTGGTGACTGACTTGTTCGCCCAGGGCGCGTTCAACCAGCTCCTCCCGCGAAAGCTCAATGAAGACATCGTCAAACCGGCGTTCTCCGACTGCAACTAGTGGTGATATATTGACTTTCGCTCGGTCATATATCAAAGTAGGAACACAGCCGCATTGCAACCTTGGAAGTGAAGGTTGCCAAATGTGATGTGCGTGTGCGATGGGCGTCCCGGCGGATGTCGCGCATACGCGCACGGCGCGTCGCACTAGAGCGGATCTGGACTTGCCGGATCGCTGATCTCCGAAAGCATCTATGTAGCCATCCACTCATAACTCTACGACTGCACCTCAACCAATAATGAGTGGCGATACAAGATTGAAAAAGAAGCGGAGAGGCGGCCCGCGCAGTAGAACAGGTATGTGCCGTGATCTATGAAACTCTGCTGCGATGCTGAGATAAGCTAATGGCATCAAGGTTGGTACGTCTGGCTGCTATTTTCAACGCGAAAACCTGTACTTCTGGCTGACTGAGTCGCTCCAGCGCCACCTGCAAACGCCGTCACACTCGCTGCGATGAGAAAAGGCCAGTATGCGGGAATTGTGAACGCCTCAACCTCGACTGCGAGCTATCCGAGGAGATCGTCTGGGCTACTCCTCGTGTCGATACAACACCGGACGAACCAAACAATGATGCGCCGCTTCTCGTTGACGTGTTTAGGACACGGATGAATGATCTTGACCTGCCTGAAGACACTTTGTCAAGTCAGAACTACATACCTGCTAATGGTGTCACGACAGCAGGTTCCGACGAAGCGAACGGTCCGAAGAAGGTACGCTTGACACCAGAAAGCGCCTTTTTACTCCAGACCTATGTACGCACCGTCGCAACATGGATGGATATCTTTGATCATGCCAGCACCTTCCAGCACAAAATCCCACAGCTGGTCCTCAGATCGCCGCTTCTGTTTCATTGTGTATGCGCCTTTACCGCCAACTATCTAGCCCTTTCCAATTCGAGCAATGATCCTTCTTGGCAAGTCACAGCTTCCAAGCATTATGGCGAATCGTTGCGCCTACTCATAGAAGCTTTGAGCATGCCTTCGCACGAACATGCGCTTACCGCAAGTATGCTGCTCTTGAGCTACGAAATCCACGGAGCCTTGCGCTCTGAAGACTACCGGCGACACTTCCTAGGCCTTACAGTATTAATCAAATCACGACATGTTACCGCACAGTCAAGCGGCACTGATCTGGCCAACTTCTGGATCTATATCCGACACGAGATCGTTGTAGCTATGGCTAGCGAGCAGCCTCTGGTACTAGACCCTGCAGAATGGGAGGTGTCCTGGGTAGAGGGTGAGACTAGAGAAGATATTTTGGGAAACCACATGCTTTGGATATTAGCGCGAGTTCTCAATCTCATTTTTGGACCAGATGGACGAACTGAAGCAGGTAAAGAGCAGCGCCAAAGCTTCCTGCACGAGATCGAAATGTGGCGAAGGGGGCTTTCTGACACGTTTGTTGGTATTTCATATGGGGAGAAAGACGAAGATGGCTTTGGCAAAGTATACTTCCCAGTGGCGGCCGCAGCCGCCACAGCGTTTTGTACGTTTATAGACGCACGTAGCGCTCAGCATAATCTAACGGGTTCAGGGTATCACATAACACATATCCTGCTCTATGCAGAGCCAGAGCTTCAAGACGAGGCATACATTCCCCTGATCCAGGAGCAGGCTATGGAGATTACCAACATAGCAATATCAGATTTCCCCCCATCGCTGATGGTATTCTCTACGCATGGTCTCTTCTATGGTACGTATCCATTCTTCCGGCTACACATAGTCAAATTATTATTCGATCACAGCGAAACGGTCACTGATACGTTCCAGCCGCGAAACATATCCATGGGATCTCAAGAAAGGCGCGTATCTGGAACGTCTTGAACGAGGTTGAGCGGCAAACTGGATACAATACGAATACGACCGTGAGGCTTCTTCAGGCTTTGATAGAGGAAGGCGCGCAAAATCGAAGCGCAAGCATCTTATGAGCGATTCCTACTGCTTCGAAAGCAAAGCCATCGTAATTCACCAGTCTCCGCCTACCAAGTATCTGGAGAATGGCCGGCATCGGACCGAGCCGCCTCGTTGGTCAGCTGCGGGCTGAAGCGAAGCCAACGACTGATCAAGCATTGACTGCGAGGCTTCCGGGGTGATGATGGGGTCGGAAGTTTTCATCCTATCGCATTGTCTGGGTGTAGCGAATTCGGTCACACTCCAGAATAGTGGCGCGTAGAGCACACCTCTTACTGGTAACCATTGCCGTTACCCACCCCACGTACATCCTCAGGCCCAACACGGATGCTGGAAACAATTCAAAGACATCTCCAAAGACATCTTCAAAGACATCTTCAATCACGATTTCAAATTTCCTTATCTATCAGGTTTCGTTCCAAGACAGAGCTGTGACAAGATTTGGCATGCGCAGCCGGGTTCTGGCGCACGTCGCGAGGCTGCGCCGCCTGCACAGCCCGCGAACAGTCGGGTAGGCAGCAGCAACACAACCAGTCGAAAGATGTCCCTTGTTCTAACAAGCGACTGGGCAGCGCAAATCAGTACCCTATTCGCGACATCTCTGAGCGTATCGCATGAACTTGTTCAGCTTTTGGATATCGTCAACGCCACAACTTCGTTTATGCGCGGGCAGTCTCAGCCATGCACGACAGGTTGTTTCGCGCAGCCTCCACGAGAGCGTTGATGGGACGTTGGTTATATTCGCCACTCCAACCGATTTCTGAAATGGCATATTCGTCATTCTATTTCACACCATCATGGTACCTCCACTCAACTCTCAAGATGATCGTGCAGCGTTCGTTGACGCTTGTATTAACAAGCGTAAGAAAGCGATGCATGCCTGGGAGTCACTTGGCTTGATCAGTGAGAAGCTACACGATGAGCAACATGGCTACTTCGTCAACAAGGAAAAGGCCGACAAGGCTAACGAGCTGCAAAGAGTGGTTGAGGGAATAGCAAAGTCGTTCGCTACGTCGTATCGTGGCACCATTGAAGAGCTCCATACGTATCTAGCTGAAGAGAATGCGTTCTTGGAAGACGTCCTCCGGCTCGGACAAGAATTTGGAGTGAAGATATGGGGCCGTATAGAAGACGGTGAAATACGCTCGTCAGGCGAATCCCAAGGAAACGGCATCGAGGAGCAGGACTGGGACGACCCGAAAGACCGCCAGAAGTGAGCACTTGATGCGTTCTCATAAACGACTTTACTGACTCCCTCTCAGTATTATGTTCTACATCCGATGCTGGCTCATATGTACTGTGGTCAGAGAGTACAAGGCGACTCCACGAAAAGGGAAAGCAAAAGGTCGGATCCGCGACTTGCCATCTCAAGATCAACAGAACGAAGACACCGTCGAAGATCTCGCAGAAATTGACAGCCCTAGAATCATAGGTGGATCGTTTCGGGCGCCAGAGCCACCACGCATGTATCCAACACCAGAACCGCGCAGAGATACTACAGCCACCAGTGCCAACGAGAAGACTACAAGCACCAGCTTCACCTCCGTGAATAAGACCACAACACCAAGTAAGAGGAAAGCGCAATATTCCCACGAACGAACACCTTCCGGGAAGCTTGCGAAGCCTTCAAAGGGCGGTCGAACGATCCCTGTTCTCACTAATCAGTCACGAGATCCATACTCGATCCCCATATCTCCTCCTGCTTTGTCTCCGATATCGCCTCCCGCATTCCCGAACCTAGGCCGCTCATCGTTTGGAAGACGAAGAGAGTCCACATATGACTCAGACGCGACTTGGGCACCGCCTCGTGAAGAAACCGCAGACGCGGAAACGGTGGTCGATGCGGAAGAGTTGCATCCCGGAGACGTCGGTAAGTTCCTCACTTGGAGAGGAGTATAGGACATCTAAGCTAATCTGAATTAGATTCAAGAATCCAGAACGACATCGCCACATCTAATGCAGACGAAATGCAATACGAGTACGACAACCAGAACGAGAGCGTCGCCGGCCCATCGGGCACCTACCGAAACCCTCTCAGACAAGATTCCGTCATACCAGACACACAAACGCAAAACGATGCAGTAGACACTATCGTCTACCCTCCAAGTGGCCAAATCATCCAAATCGACGAAGACATATCAAGCGATGCATATACCGACGCCATAATCCGCTCCCTCATCTCCGATCCCTCTCCCACAACCCGTCAAACGCGCATATACCGTCTCGAACTCTACAGACTGCTTGTAGCGTACCTAAATGGCATCAAGAACTTTGATCCCACCAACTACGACTCCGCTGCGGAAGAACGCATGGACTTTCTGCTCAACCAGTTCCATTGTACCAACGCTGATGCGTGGCATTCTGATCATAACGATAGTGCGCTTCGCCTACACCTCGCATTCGAGAAATGGATGAGTATGCGTCACCGTCTCGCCGCTTTTCGCAGCGTAACGGGATATTTTGGCCCACCGGGGAGGCAGTGGGAGGAACATTTGAGGGGGCTGGATGATGTGCCGCATGCGGAGGCTATCTTAGCTTTTGTCGATCTGAAGGATCCTGGGGACAGAGAAGAGGGAGGCAGGGTGCTTGGTGATGGGTTTGATAATGATCTTATGATGATGTTTGATGGGTTAACTAAGTTTCAGGACTGTAATGGGCCAGAGGCTTTCAAGGGGGTGAGGAAGTTTAATGAGAGGTTGTTGGCGTGGTTTAGGGATGAGTGATTGGGTGGGGGTAGAGACAAGACAAACCACACAGGAGACGCAACTGAGACGATACATGATGCGCTTGCTAGTTTGAGATACCTCATCATAAAGTCCTGAGGTGAGGTAAAAGCTTCGGACAATGATGGGGTATATAAACTGATCACACCTGCATATTCCGGAGCGTTGTAGTATCTGAGCACCTAGGGATGCAGAATCTCTCGCACACACAGCTTTGCAGCGACTACGCATCCGCTCTTCGCGATCACACTCTTCATGATTGAGACCATTCCTTCTTGCTTCCAGTCAGCCAGTAACTACCAGACTTGTCACGACACGCAGCAATTATCCGGCCCAAGGTCCAGCGCTGGCGCGGAGGGCGATTGCTTCGATCGAGCTTTCGAGAATGCACGAGCTGGCAAGTGGGTAGAAACCTAATGTGGCTTTTGAATAGAAGTAGGCGCGGATTTCATCGCAGAGGAAGCGACATGTCACAGATAGCTCGGTTGGTGCCATTTGGTCGATGTAAGCGGTTAATTGCTCATATGGGTGCGCAGTCCGATTCCGCTTAGGTCCCTGGCGGCAGAGATGGTCGTAGATCTCGTAGCGCAGTTCTTTGGGGAGACGGAGGAGAGGGCTGGAGGGAATGGATGAAGACATGATGGGTGGTGTACGTATAGGCGGCAAATGACGTGGGTTGGGTTGAGGGTACGAAGGTCTGTTTAGACAGTTGGATGGAAGATGGTAAGAAGGAGGCAGGTTCATGACAGTCATGTACTGTTAGAAGGTGACATGTGGGTTGGCATTGTGGCACGCCTTGTGATGCATGATGACGTACTACCTGGTGTGCTTTGGTTGATCTGGTCATGGACGAAGAGATTGGGTTTGCAATATCCCGGAGCCTGAGCTTCTCAGGCAGTGCAATCGACCGTAGACTATTGCACGCGTCATTATCACTAGCAGGCCATAAGTGAATCAAAGAGCACAATATTCGGGCAAAAGCATAGAACTGTTACATTTTCCGTCCTTGCTCCAACGCCGTGCGAATGCAAGTCATGTAAAAGAGACATATTACATATCCCATATCTAACTCCACAGCCTCAACGTGCCATCCGCACCAGCCGACACACACCACGGCTCCCTCGGATGCCAATCCAGACCCATAACACCCAGCCTGCTCTTGACCTTGTGTCCGCGCAATACCTTCAAAGGAACGATAGTCGCGTTCTCCATAAGATCCCCCACGACCTTTCCGTGGAAAATTTGAATAGTGCCGTCGTCGGAGGTATCGGCGAAGAGGGGCAGACCGCCTTGGTGGAAGCGCACTGAACGGATGGCTTCCTTGTGGAAACGAAGGGTTTTGTAGGGTTTGTTGGAGAGGTCGAGGTCGTGCCAGAGGAGGCGCTGGAAGAAATCAGCATATGTTTTAATGATGTTTCTGAATAGTGAGGACTTACCTTGTCGTATGTTCCGACAATGATGTTGTCACCACCGGGATGCACATCGATGGACGAGATCCATTTAGCACCTGGTTGCAGGATCTTGACGAGTTCCTGCTTGGCGAGATCGTAGCTGCGGATGGTGTTGCGGGTGGCGACGAAGAAGATGGCTTTGGAGGGGTGGAATTGGGCGGTTTGCGCGATACCCTTGAGGCGGCGGAAGGGGAGTTGGGTGAGGTGTTTCGAGACGGTGTGGATGGCTACTGCTGTGCTTTGGCCGCGGGGCGAGACTGTGGCAAAGTAGTCTCCTCTCCGGTGCCAGTTGACTATCTTGACTGCTGCTCGGACTTCGATTTGGACGAGAACGCCCTTGTTCTCAAGACGGGCTCCTGGACGGCTCCACTTGCCTGGGACTGCTTTGGGTGCCTCGCCGAATGTTGTTGTGGTGGGCTTTGATGCTGCGTAACCCCAACCGGCGTCGAGAATTTCGCGGCTGGCTTGCTCAACGTCCGGCGAAAGAAGTGTGAAGGGTACGATTAGGTAGACGTTCTCGCCGCAAGCAGCAGCTACTACGGATGTCTCCTTGGTGGGTCTCCATTGTACGGCATCAACAGCCTCCTCATCTGACAGCTTTGCGTTCCAGACCTGGCGACCAGTCAATAGCTCCCAGATCCTTACGTAGCCGTCGTCACCTCCACTGGCAACAAAGATACCGTTAGGATCGACCGAAACACAACGAACACGTCCCTCTTGTCCACGGTATATCGCTGCGCATGTAGTCGGGAAAGGCTTGAGCTCTTCAGGGTTCGGCAGCTTAGGTAGCAGTGATTCGGGGTCGATGTTGAGTCGGTTTCTCCGGATACGGGGAGCCAAGTAGAGATCCAAGCTTCGCTCAAACCTTTCCTTGACGAATGTCTCGTAACCAGGGACCTTGCGCAGGGCATCGTAATTCTTGGGCAAGAAGTCTGTCTCCCGCTCTTCATCGTCTTGCTCCAGCCACTTCTGCTCCTCAACCTTATCTGGCAAGTACTCGGGCGGTGGGTGGTAACTCGCTTCGTAGCCAGGCGGTGGCAGCTTGGGCGCGGGAATGTGCATTGTGTTGTCAGGGCGGGGCTTCTCGTCCGCCCACACGTCAAAGGTGAAAACGTCTTGCTCTTCCTCCTGCTCCTCCGGTGCCCTGTATGGCTTGATGCGACCTTCCCTAATCGCCTTGACGATCTTCATGACGCGCTTCGCTTCGTGCTTGGAGGGGATGAATCGTCGCTTGGGCTCTGGCGCAGCGCTCAGTGGCATAATCTCCGTGTTGACGCCAGAGAAGTAGGCGACCATCTCTGGGTATGGGTCGTAACCATCTTCCACAATCTCGTTCCTTGTGAGCCTCTTGAGTACATCGAGCTCCTCGGGTGACAGGTTCAGCGGCTTTCCTGTCTGGGGATCCGTCAAGCCTGTCCAGCCCTTGGGTATGTCGATACTGTCCAGCAGCGCATCTAGCGCCTCTCCCTTTGCCGGGCGCATGATCTTCTTGCCGTTGATATCGTAGCCAATATGCGGGTATTCATCGTAGTACTTGAGGTCGATGTTGCCGATCGTGTTGGTAGCTTCGGCGTCAGAATCGTCGGATTCGTAGACTGGGTCGATCTCTTTGTAGATGTAGCGAGTGTTGCCGTGCGCATCGGTGGTGACAGTGTAGTTGGGCTTCAGGTCTTCATCGTCTTCTAGTTCCCCATTCGCGCCACCCACGTCCAGATCCATCTCGTGTGTAGGTACTCCATTCTTCTTGCGCAATGGAACATCCGAGGTATTCAGGTTGCGCATTTCCTCACGAATCTGCTCTGCATCGCTGTCTTCCTCCTCCTCTTCATCTTCGTCGGAAAGACCCTCAATCACACTGCTAGCATCGGTATCGGCGCCTTCATCTTGGCTGTCGTCCGAGTCGTCCTCGGAATGCGACAGGATGCCCTCGAGCAGTCCGTCGGCCAATTCACCTTCCGAGTCACTGGGCTCGGGCGCCGGGCGCGTCACGACCTTTCTCTTGCGCGGGTTGACTGACATTTTGGGCGTTTGATGTTTCCTCCTCACGTTCACCGCGGACTGTCGCAACTTCCCAAAAATTATCGCTAGCGTCCAAGATTTCGGTTTTAGCGCGTCGCACGTGCCAGGCTGCCATCAGCCAAGCATATCCTCGGAGACTCTACAGCAACTTTATCGCAAACTCCGCAACTCCAACTCTCTGTTTACCCCACGCAATTGCATCCACCACCCGCATCTGCTACGCCAAGACGCCACCCCAGACTGATTGCAGCAGTAATTCCACCGACTCACCATGGCGACGCGCCACTCTGACTACGATCGTAGGCGCCATTCCCCGCGCCGCGACCGCGACCGCGGAGATCGGGGAGACCGCTATGGCGAGAGCCGCTTCAGAGACGACCGTGACCGCCGAGACCGCCGCGATGACCGTCGAGAGCCTGACCGTCGAGACCGCGACCGCGGCGACACGTATCGTCGACGTTCGCGCTCCCCGCCTCGCCGCCGCGACCGATCCCGTGACCGAGGAGACCGTGCCGACCGTGGAGACAGCTACAGGCGCGACCGCGACGGTGATAGAGACAGGCGTCGCCGCTCTACTTCCCGCCGCCCTGGTTCCCGTTCATCTGCCACACCTGCACCAGGCTCAGACAGCTGGAGGCGCGATGACGGCAGACGCGACGACAGCAGGCGCGATCGGCTAGATCACTCCTCGCGCGACGACAGGAAGAAAGACCCCGAGACACAAGCCAAGGACAAGCTTGCGGACCGCGCTGCGAAGCTAGCCGAGTGGAAGAAGCTCAATGCCGAGCGCCTGCTCAAAGAGAAGACCGACACATCCGGTTCCGGTGCTTCGCCAGCTGCCACTGCACCTGCAACCCCGTCAGTCACTGCGACGCCCCCGCCAGCTCCGGCATCTGAGGCCAAGCTTGTTGATACCGCTAAGACCAAAGTCATTCCGCAGAAGAGTGCTACTGAGAAAGTCAAGCAGAAGCAGCCCGAGAAGTCGACCTTCAGACTGGATGCTTCCGCCGCAGCCCGTCCTCTAGACATGGCCAAGCCTGCAGGCAAGACTGTCACCAACGCTAGCAGTATGTTCATCCCAAACCCTCGTTTCACGAACCACAAGCTTACACGTACAGACGTTCCCATTGTTAAGGGCAATGGTAACATTGGCTCGTTCGGTCTCAAGACCAAGACTGCTGCTGAGACCGAGGAAGAGAATTCCAGAAAGGCATTGCTCGACGAGGAAGGCCCGACCCGCAAGCGCAAGCTACAGGCTCTCCCCGAATTCGACGCCAACGAGGCACCCTCGCTCGAAGCTGACGGCGACGACGCGGATTCTCCAATGAGTGACATCGGCAGTGATGACGAGAACAACGCGGAGCTTCAGGCTCGCCTTGAGAAGCGTCGCGCTGAGATCGCCAACGAGAACCAAGAGGACACGGCCATGGAAGAGGCAACTGCTGTCGAAGCCCCTGCCGACGACAAGATGGAAGTTGACGAAAATGCAGGCGCCGAAGAAGATGACGTCGATCCTCTCGATGCCTTCAT